AAATTTACATGGTTCACAAGATATGCATCTGAAGTGCCAAAACAAGACCAGGGACCGACTCGCCGCACACCTTGCTCTGCCACACACTCTGACAGTTAGTTGTAGTCAGGGTATCCGCCTCCGCATACGGCGGAGATGACGACGGCGACTCCTCATCAGCGGCGGTGGCGAAACGCTTGACAGTAACAGAAGTGTTGAGATACTCCTTGACATGCGTTATAACCCCATCAGTAATGGTCCAGGCATGGACCCACGAAACGGCGCGTTTCGTGTCGTAGCCTTCAGCGAGGACGGTGGGCCCAAATGCGACGATGGAGATGGGTACGAAGACGAAGGAAGAGGAGGAGACGCCGGTGAGGAGACGCATCAAGTACTGGTGCGACGGTGGACCATGGAACCACCACTCCAAGTCCGGCGCCAGAAGGCGGTGCACAGTCTCCACGTCTTTGGAACTCAACGCCTCGTAAAGTGCTGTCACTATCGCAACGCTGATCTCGTTCTGCTCCGACGGCGACTCTGAGTTTGCCAGTTTCGTGTTTCCGACGAGTGCTGCCGGAGGCCGGTTGAATAATGGTCGCCGGAAAAACGAGTGTGGGAGTGAATTAAAGTTTTAAACTTTTTATTACGAGTTGGAGTGCATGTGTTCGAGAGGGTTCTATGCTCTAAAGATTGAATCCAAAGCATTTATAGCCCAGAGTTTCGCTACACGACAAGGATATTTGTCAATTTGACAATAATAAAACAAAAATAGAATATATATATATATATATTGTTTCCAAGTTCATGGTGTTTATTATTATTATTATTATTATATTTCAAATTTGGTGACTATATTCCTTTGTCTCGATTTTGCTATAGGTACGTGTTTTTTTTGTCTATTTGAAACAGTTAAAAATGAAAAATAGAATTAGAATTGAAATATTATCATTCATATTCATACCCTAGCAACTAATTCGTATCAAACAAGTAAAATATAAACTAATTAAATATTCATAATAAAATAAAATATATTATAAATCAAATTATAAAAGGAAAAATAGTAAGATATAATATCTAACATATATTTCATAAATAATATATACTCCAAATATTATATCTGAACAGAAACTTTAATTATTTTTTTAATCCTAAAATTATATTGTAATATTAAATTTTGAATTTTAGAAATTATATTTTTACTGGGAATTCTTTTTATATAATCTTTTAATTAATATTATATTAGCAGCACGACAATGATTGCTCGGCACTTATTATAATTTAGAGAACAAATCAGTTGTGAGAAGTTCGAACTTCACGGACAACGTCAACATATGCTCAAATCTCGAGTCATGCTTGCGAGATGTGTTCTAAAAAATGTGAGCGAGGAAATATATTTGAAAGAATTATAGAAAACAACGTTATATGACTGTAAGTAAAGAAAGCACAACGGGTAAATATCATGTAACTTGAGGTAGGAAGAATGGAAGATTAGTCACATTTGCCTATAGTACATTTTGGGACATTTTAGCGTTGGTGGGTGTAGACATGATTTTGGAGAATCGTCGTATACTTCATATTGGCACCATGTGAAATAGTAAAGACCTATTTAAGATGAAAACATGTAAAAAGGGTTTGAAACGGGCATGCGGCTATAGACAACATGTATGATTAAGATATTTCACATGCGATCATAGACAACACGCCTTAAACAAACATAACAATGACAAACAGTACTGCCAAGGACAACCTCTAACAAGACAACCACTTGACGACCTTTCTAGCTATGGTTGACCGATAATAATGTTTTTAAATATAAAATTAAACTTATTAATTAATTTTTTTTTTAATAATTGTTAGTTATAGTGATTTGGCATGAGTAAAAGCATGTATAAGATACTCTTGATAAAATGTAATTAAAAATATGAGTGGATTAATTCTAAATAGGTCTTGTAAAAAAATATTTAAATTAAAATGCCTTTTCGAAAGACACTTGCATTAAAAGGTAATTTAAACAACTCCTAAAGATTTTTTAATTTTATTTTTTATCTCGAAATATTTCCAAACTTTTACGTTATATATGAAAATGACTAAAATACCCTTACATAATCCTTACCATATGTTTTATATCTTTCCTTCTTATCCTCGTATTTACTTCAACGAGAGTCGTTAACCGCCATAACCCCTATTAGAGACTGTGGTTATGGGTCGACTATAATATTTTAAATATAAATTTAAACTTGTGAATTAATAGGGTCAAATAATTGTCCTTTATAATAATTTCAAACAAAAAAAATATTGTATAGAAAAATACTTTTTTTCATTTTTTTTATCTTAATAAATTTGGGCTAAATCTTAAACTTTAAAAATTTATGAATATTTTTGAAACTTGGTACTGTATTAAAAAAAAAAAAGTTTAAAAGTGTTTTTAAAATTTTTAAAAATGTTTAATGATATTTTAGAAGGGTATTTTTAAACCAAATATTTATAATTTCTAATAATTTGTGTATATATATTTTTAGTATTATTGAGAATTTTGAAAAAAAATTGAAGTTAAAAAGTATTTTTATGAATTTAGTATAATTTAAATAATTATTGGTCGGTAAAGTTGGTGTTTGAAAAAGTAAATGGTCGGCCGACAGGCTGACGTTGCCCTTTGGAACAGATGAATGGACGGTTTATTAGGGGGTCGGGTCTCTTTTCTGTTTTATTTGGCTTTTTATTTTTCCTTTTCCTATTGAAAATTGTTTTAAATAATTTATTTACTTTTATAACTATTTCACTTTTAACTTTTTTTTTTTTGTTTTTTTTTTAAATAGTTAAAAGATATTTGGTAAATTCCAATTTTAAACTTAAAAAATAATAGATAAAAGTATTTGATAAATCCAAATAGAATTATTGTGGTTTACCTGAAATTACCAAAATAGACCCATGATTTTATTTATGTATTTTTTGATGTTCAATATATGAATTAAAAATTAATTAAAAAATATTTTTTAATTTTATTCCATTTTTAGTAAACGAAATTATTTAGGCTTTTAGAATTTAAATTATAAATCAAATTTTTTTATTTTGAGATTTTACTATTACTTTGTTATTTCAATTTATGGAAAGATTTTACCATTGAAATTTTACTATCTCTAAATCTAACGTCATTATAAATTTAATCTTTAAATTTTTAAAATTTTAAATTTATAGATCTACCGGACACAAAATTGAGATTTTATGATTTTATTAGACATAAAATTAGATTATAAAATTTATAAAATAAATAAATACGAAACTTTGACAAAAATTATAATTTAACTAAAAAAAAACATCACTAATTTGTTGCCAACTTTTGCAATAATGCATTTTTTTAAATATATTTTTGTCATCTTTTATTTGATTCTAATGTACATGCCACTATTTTTGATCCACGTCACACAAAAAAAAAAAAAAAAAAAAAAAAAAAAAAAAAAAAAAAAAAAAAAAAAAAAAACC